GATTATTGTGTAATAAAAAGTATAAACTTCAAATCGTTAATGTATCAATATTTGAACAAGACAACTTTCTGTAATAATAACTTTGTAAAAATTTTACCAATATGTATAAGGTTTGTAAAAGAACATGATTCTATAATAGTATTATAATTAAAAACTGATAATCAAATCCAGTCGGATTTAAAAATATTTTGTAGAAATTATAGGGATCGCGGCTTTGCCGCTCGCCCCCGTCTAGAGCTAACACTACCTGTTTTGCAAGTATTTTAAATAATCATCGTGGGTTTTGACCCCGAGTAAAACTCACACTATCAGCTTTTGTCAAAATTTATAGGGGGGCTCATGGCTTTGCCGCTTGCCCCCTTCTAAACCTCACACTATAAGATTTTATCAAAATTTAATGGTAAGTTCGCGGCTTTGCCGCTTCTTCCTTCTAAGCCTCACACTATCTGATTTGCAAGTATTTTATACAGGGTGTGTCAGAGTCAAAGTGCAAAAATTAAATTCTTATAAGTTATAACTTCGAAATTTTTATAGATAGAATTTTTTTAACATCTTTTACAGGTTCCTGGTATCTTACCTTTTTTTTCTCTGTGGCGCGAATTCTGGCGCACCTTAAAACTATCAGACTTCGTCAAAATTTATAGGGAGGGTTTGCGGCTTTGCTCAGTGGGTATGATATCTAGATTTTTGTGACTCTGTGGCAATTCATGTCATCACCTCAAATTACACATTTCTTGGCCAAATTTCTTTTATATGGAGCTCTTAAAGTCTTAAACAACACTTCACAAATCACTACCTATTTTAAGTCAACCAGTGTGCAAATTAACTGGGTTTTATATAGTTTTTGGCCTATGTTTTATGCATTATTTTCGTCATCTCACAATGTCAGAATAACCTTAATTTACACATTTCTTCGCCAAAAAGGAGCTCTTGTATGTTAGACAACACTTCACGACTTACCATGTAGCTCTTTGTCTTTCGAGACGGTTTTTTATAGAGACGATGATATTTCGGTAATTCACGTTGTGCTATACCGTCACCAATCAGAATTATACCAACTTGCAGTACAAACTACTCGCACGCAAAACCAACCTTTGCACAAATACTATTTACGTCCCCGTTTTGCTTTTTTCAAATCACCAGTAACATATAGTTCCGTTTTTCTATCGTTTTCGTTTGATTTTCTTGAAGAGTGTCAGTCACATTGACGCAAAATGTCACCAACTGTCAGAAGTGTCAGATTAAAGGATTAAAATTTAACGAATTCTTGGTCAAGGTTTTTTTAACTTAAAATTTATGCACTTTTAAGCCTTTTTTCTCTATAAAACTGATACTTTGTAGAATTATGGTTGAATTTTTGTTTTTTACTTTCACCCAATCTCTACCTATTGCCGCTTTCTACTTTTAGTGCTTCCAAGTTTTCCAACAGTAAAAAAACAATTGTTATTGTGCGACAAAGATAGTTAAATAACGTTTTACACGGGTGTGAGAGCGTTTAAGCTATCACGTTTTACAACTCGTACAATTAAATTTCTGATCAAAGTGGTCTGTGACTTTGAAATTAAGTTGACATCATAAACTATCAAATTCAAACGTCACACTTTTATAGTCAATTGTCATTCATTTCCGAGGGGTGGCCACTGGCATCGCCCTGACTTGACACAATTTACATTTCAGTGTTACGAAATTAATTTCAAAGCCATAGGTCACTCGAAAGCATGGATTTAATAGCTATTAACATACCGAGTGGTGTTATAACCATCATAACTACCGTATCCATTTAAGGTTGCTATGATTCATAACATGTTGTTTATCGGTTTCTGTTCATTTCATTCAAAAATTCGATTTAAAAATAATCACATTTGTATAATACGTTCAGATGTCGAAATGACATTTTTAAGTTGTATGTAAATACGTAGAAATCTCGAAAAATGAGTTCGATTACGATAGTTTTATCAAATAATTCCTCAAAAGAAAAGAAACAAGTTTTAAATATTTTAATACCGGAAAAATCAAAGGCCAGTTATCGGAAACCATACGACACATTTGTAGCAGTAGAGGTGAAATTGGCAAATCAGTAGGTTAAATTGACCTGACTGGAAAAATCCATAAAAGACGCAGCCCTTTTAGCTGTCTTACATAGTATTTTTTGATTTATCATGTTTATAGGAAACTTTTGTCTTAAAATTGAATATTCTATCACCTATAGTATATTACATAACGAGCACGGAAAGTGACAAATAACGCACAAGTGGGGAGTCTTCTGCACGAGGCGTCAGCCAAGTTAAACACTTTCCAGCGAGTCATGTACACTATGTTTCCCATGACAAAAAAACACGAATGTTTCTAATAAAACGATTTAATGTTTCTCTGAAAGAAATAAGATCGACAGTTAATAAATTAGGCGTCTATTAATATTAAATTCTTACTTAATTAAGCTGATTTAGGTTTAAAAGGTCGGTGGTTTTATTTACAAAACTTAGCGTCAAAGAAGAAAATAAAAGTCAAAAGCAATGCACAACCTCTTACGTTATTTTCATAACACACACGTGTGATATCGTCAACTTTCGTAGGTAATTCGCTGTATGGAAACAGTGACTTTTGTAGGTAACGGTCGTGAGAAACAATTGAAACAATAAAAACGAAACACCTGTATAACAAAAATATGTGAATAAAAATTAACTAAAATTTGCTCTATCCCTACCTACTTATAAATAAACACAAACTTTGTCCAATTTATGTTTCCTCTGTGTTTCTGTTAATCATGCCATAATTATAGAATTCGTTAAAAACAAACTCTTGCCTGCAGGTATGCACAATGGCACTACCTATGTGTGTTTGTAATTATCTTGAATAATATCTGCATCTTGAAGACGTTCGTTCCTATTTCATTTGGGGCGATTCGTGACGTTATAATGTTCATTTCAACTTGTCTACCGCACAAAGGATGTTGAAATTACAAACGCTAATATCCAGAAATGTACCTACCAAGATATTTCTAATTCAATTCTTTGGATGTTTCATTATGTTTACAGTACAGAACCGTGTTTACCTGCAAAAGAAAGAATGTATTCGGAAAAAACGGTTCAAATATTTAATTACATTTTAATATTTTCAAAGTTGAGTTTAATTAAAATTTTTCATTCAACTCTCTCATAAAGCAAACTAAAATTTGTTGATGTAGGTGTTGAATGAAACCCAGACTATAATTACAGGGTGAATTTAAAAAATGTTTAGAAATAATACACTATATTTTGTAAAATACATTTCTATTATAGGCAATGTGAGGTTTATGGACTAATATTAAAGTTTGAGTTATTTATTACTACCATTCGCACTTATTTACAGGACACATAAATGTGACACTAATGTTACAGGACACAAGATATGAATTTAACTTATTGCTGTCTAACAGAATTTGATATAAGAGTCTACAAAACTATAATTTAAATAATGTGCTTTCCGTTCTATAATGCAAAGATAATAATCAAAATTACTTTTTCGTCGTACTACGTTGTTATGGTATGAATAACATTCAACAATTTACCATCGACAAGCTGTCAACCACACCATAGTAACACTGTTAAGAGATTTCACGAGCCCTCCATGTTGATCTTTAAATATTGAACATTTTCAGAATTTTAAAACAAGATAATTTAGAACGACAAAAAACAAATACATCAATTTTGTACTATTTTTTTTATTTAACGTTAAAATAAATCCGACTGAAAATAATATATTACATAATGAGCACAGAAAATGATAAATAACGATAAGTGAAGAGTCTTATATACGAGGCGTTAGCCGAGTGCGGAAGCCCCACGAGTGCGTTAAACACCCCCACAGCGAGTTTTGTACACTATTTTTCCTACGATACTAAATAAGTGATTTATGCTAAAATTTTAATTTTTTAGAATCAATAAAATTAATGATCAGATTATTTATTAATTTTACAGTTACTGTAATAATATAATATAAAAACCCATGAAACTTATGTTTAATATTACTATTTGTGGCTTTTTTTGGCAAAGTATTGTACCTTTAGTACTGAATAATTATGAGAAAACGTATACAAGATCATCGGTAACAATAACTAAACATAAAAAATGTCAAAGGTCAAAAAATACGAGTATGCAGGGTGCGCCAGAACTCGCGCCCCAGGAAAAAAGTTCAAGTAACAAAAGATACCAGGAACATGAAAAAAATGTTTAAAAAATTCTGTCAAAAAATGTTGACATTAATTTTTTGAGATTTGACATTTTTTCATGTCTATTTAATGACACTGATGATATTGTATATGTTTTTTTTTTATAATTATTTAGTAAAAGTAAAAAAAATGCCAATAAAAGCTACAAATAACATTAAACAAAGTTACAATTTAGGATAGAGCTTCCTTATGTCCTCTTCTAATAGCCTGTAGCAAAAAACTTGAAAAACTATTTTTCCAACAGAAATAGAGTCAAAATGCAAAATTTAAACTCTCATAACTAACTTCAAGATTTTTATAAATAAAATTTTTTTAACATTTTTTCCATACCATGTTCTTGGTATACATGATATTTTTCTCTGGGGCGCGAGTTCTGGCGCACCTTGTATATCGAAATTTTTTGTCAGATATATCTTTTTAAACATTTTTTCCGTGTTCCTAGTGTCTTATCTTACTTGGCATTTTGTCTGAGGTGCGAGTTTTAAAACATTTTGTAGTGTCGTAGAAAAACAAATTTAAATCTTTTAAAACATTAGATTACCATTAGGTTTATTAATTAATTAACTTTGTTTGTATTGCATCAAAAGTCGTTTCAATCGAAAGACATTCAATAAATTACTACTAAAGACATAAATAAAATGATACATCGTCACTATTTTTGTCACAATCAACGTAAACTTTTGTCTTTGACAAATATTATGTCAGTAAATGACAATTAATTGACAATTGTTTTCCCCAATTTAGTAGTTAGGTACAAAAATCTACCAGAGATCAGCCACTTTGAGGAATTTTTCCTATTTCAATCATTTGGCAAATTTTAATTGACACATTTTTTTCTGCAATTTTTTAGATAATTTCAATATTAATTGATTTGAAGCTGAATAAATCTGGTAACAACATGTAAATATTTCTTTTGAGTTAATAGCTTTTTACTAAATTCAACCTTCATAGATTGAAGAAAATAAAGAAGAGTTATGTATGTGAGTTCTATTGTAGTGTTGTAAAACTAGAACATAAACGATTGATTTATGTTTATTTCTAAGATATTATGTCCGGTAACAAGATTGAAGCCCACGTTGAAGCTCTGATTTCCCCACACACTAACCATAAAGTCTAATTAATTACTTTAGAAATTGGCAATTACTTAATTAAATTTTAGGATAGCTAGCTAGCTACACAGATATTTTATAAAAATTCAAGCAATCTTGTGTTGATTATCAAGACAAAGGGTGTAATTTTTCCTGCTGTCCATCCAATTACTATGAAAAACCAAGTAAATCTCACTAAATAATTCAAAATCCCATGATGTTTTCTAACATTGGGTAAATGAGCGGATGTCGTGCCACCATATCGATTTGTTTGGATGTCATTATTTATTCAATACACAAATGATTATTATTTGAACTGTTTCAATGTATGTGCCGTTGATTGCGAGTAAACGAAGTAGAAATGCGAACCGTCAAACTAATTAGTTACAGAATAAACACAAATACAGGAAAAAAGAGACGACAGCGAAAAAAATTTTGTCGGTATTTGAACATCAAAATGGCGGTTTAAAGCATCTCTAAATAACAAAGAGGATCCGATGATAGGAGATGGGCTATATTGATTAACGCCTCCAGCACTTCGCTGACGAAACATGGGAAATTGGCAGATCGGTTACCGATACACTATTTAGAAACAATATAGCAGAGGGCGGTGCGAACATTTCAAACAACAGCACCCAATAATCTGCACGACTCTAAACTTTTACTTCCTATATTATTTTTACTTAAGTTTTAGTTTTCAAAGTAGTCAAAATCATGCGCTATTTCTAAAACTGAAATGTTCTACAAATATAATGTCCCAAATTCCGGACACAAAATTTAAAATTTGGCTTTGTTACTAGTTTAAGTAGTATAAAAATAACAAAATAAAGTAAATTTAGAAAGCAACATTAAGAGCGACCTAATCGCCCACGCGTTGAAAAAAGGGTATCTTTGGAGGACTTAGATACACCTATTTCAGGCGGTTTTTGGAAAAACTTTCAAATGCATCTTTGCGATAAAAGATCAAACTAGAGTTTGATGACATTTCTAATTTTCAATTTTATCGTCGTGGCGAGAAAATTAAAAAACTGTGGGAAAAATATCGGAGGTTGTGTGGGGGAAAAAGCTTTGATTAGTGTCCGAAAGAGGGCAATTTAAATTTAACAATTTAAATTGTTACATAAATGTAATAAATAATAAAATGATATTCTAGAGGTAACTAATGTTCAAGCAACAAACCTCAAAGTAAAAACTATAAGTAAATAAATTTGTACACTTAGCACAAGAGCTGTCAAGAAAGAGATTAATTCCATTTCTTTATTGGCGCTATCTCTGTTTCAAAAGTGAAACAAAATAAATTTGTTTTTTTGTTGAAATTTGTATGACACTGTGGAAGAACCAATCTGAATTTAGTATTTAGTATGATTACCATAGCAATACAAACAAATTTCCGGAAATTTTTTTACTCATTAGCTAAAATTAATAAGTTGAAATTTTTTGACAACAAAAACTAACTTTATTTTAAACGTCAAAAACTAAAACTTATAATTGAACTCGTGATATCATGCAATATTCTTACCGAATACCACTTGTGTGTTGATTGAATCCGGAAATTTTGTTCTCGTGATTGTCAAAAACGTGTAATTAATTAATGACGTTTTTCCGGAAACAATCAACACACTCGGGGTATTATACGTGATAATTTTTTGATAGCAAATTAGGCCTCTCTTAATTCATTTTTGGCCTTGACAACTGTAATTGACATGTTTACACATTTTTAACAACTAGGGTATCTGATTTTTACAAGACATTTGTGCAGTTTAGCACACCCAGTGCGGTAAAATGACACAAAAATGTTATGCTTTTAGAAACCACGAAAAAAAAAGATACTTTATGGTAAATGAAATTTATTAATGCCGAGAGAAGATACCGCAATAATTTATTTATTTAATATTCAAAAGAAAACAATCTTCTGATTCTACTTGATTCTATTTTTGATTCTACATTCACCACATATCGTGGTGAAAGTAGTACACGCAAAGACCTGTCATGTGTTGACAAGTCAAAATTTGAATTAATGATAGAAAAGTTTTGTACATCATTTGTGCCTTAGGTATTTTACAGAGTTCAGTTTTATTGAAGCTCTCAGCTTCGCTTCAAGCTTAAGTATTGAAACTACACGCTGTAAAATTATACGAGTATCTATTTACCTACCGCATATAACTATGAACGCAGTAAATTGATATCATTACTATAGGTCGGTTTTCAAGAAAATCCTTAATCAGATCAATTGTATTTTTGTAAATGCTATATTTCATTCCGATATCAACATGTATAACGTCATTCGTTTTTGAGTAATGGTGTCCTCTTTATTTTTTTTAATGGCATTTTTACTTTTTTTTGTTTTTCGTAGCGCATTCTTGAATTTTTTTCAGTGATTATAACAAACGCTTGATGTTCTAATTTAAAACTTTGCAAAGACTTTGCAGTATTTTTTACTGTAAGTTATGTAACACTTTTTATGGATTTTGATAAAATTGTTGCCTATTTTCTTAATAATTCGCCTTTAAACACTTAACATAAAACCTTAACTTAAAAACGACTGGTAAAAACAATCACCTTTTACTAAAAAATATAGCAAGTTGAGAAAGATAAAAGCCTTTTTGTATAATTATTAATAACTTTTTTATTCTTGACAATTGTGGAAACTTTTTTTTATAATTACCAAGAAGAAAAAGAAATATATTACTAAAAACAGTAAACAAAATGTCGGTTGCAATAAATAAATATGACAAAAAACAATGGCGTTTTAAATGTTGTTATAATATCAAAATGTAGCATTTACAAAGATAAAAAATCAACTTGTTTGAGGATGTTTTCAAAAATAACCGATAACAAAGATATGTACTTTGTGCGTTACTTCAAGTTCATCTGTATAGACATGTAAAAAATTATATCGAGAGATCAAGATAATTTGTAATCGAGTCATTGGAAAACGTGTATGTCTGTGAAACCTCAAATAAAATGACAAGTTAAAAGGTAAACCTTCAAAATGGGCTATAATTAGTAATAATAAGACCGTTTTTTAAAGTATATCATAAATGTTAGTAAATTAACATCTTTTTGATCATGCCATTTCAGATTTTGACTTGTCATTTTATTTGACGTTTCAGAGACACATGTTTTGGGATCTAAGGATGACTTAATCATTATTAAACAACAATTGCATCCATGCTTTCGCACTTGCCTTCACCTCGGAAGTACAGATCACCCTTAATTACAAATTATCTTGATCTCTCGATATATCGAGAGTCTAAATAAAAACGTGATCAAAAGTTTTATAAAATTTTTATAAACGTATGTTTTGAATAGTAGTTTAAACATCTGTGAGTTATATGCGTTGACACCAATTTCTTCTAGAACAAACTAAAAAGCAGCATTGACAACATTTGCGAAAACATCATTATTCATTACAATGTTCTGGGTACCTATACACTCTGTAGTAAAAATACATCTGAAATGTTGTGTCATAAAATTTTCACCACACTTTTGATCACGTTTTTATTTAGACTCCTGATATAATTAAATATGAACGGCAAAACTTTCTTTCAGATTCCCATCTCTTCTCTTTTTTTCCACTATAATATATCAAAAAAGATTTTTTTTACATTTATTTAAACTACTCTTTAAATTTAATCATTAGTGTATTTAAATGATTGCACGCACAATGCCACAGTTGAACCTTGTGAGATTTTCTTTGCCAGTGTACAGGATGTCCCAAGTTTTAGCACCGGCGCAAAAATAAATATTTCTATTTGATCTAATTGAGTCTAAATATTTTAATTGATTAAAAAAAATTAGATAGTTTAAACAAAAGAGGATTACCTACACTTTAATTTGATGTTTTGATATGGCACAAAATTTTTGGCGTATGGCAGTGACCTTAAAAATTTAATTTGGAGAAAAAAAATTCAATTGACTAGAATATTTAGGGTAGTTTTATTTTAGAAATTTCCATCAGTCCTAGTAGCCTTTATCTTTGAGTTTGATTATGTGTCATCTAATACATGTTATTAAGAAGGCGGTGGTGTCAACAATTCAGCGAAAATTTACCATTTGAGAGTTCAATTAATTAAAAAATTACTTTTATTTAAATTAAATTGAGTTGAATCAAAGGCTACTACTAGGACTAAAAATTTGAAAAATTAAACCACGCTTAACTAAAAAACGAATCTACAAAAAATTTTTTTCTTTGACAGTTAGATACGCTCATTTATTCCGTTTCTGAAAATGTTTCAAAAAGTAGAGGGTGCCATTTAAAATTCTAAAGTAGGGGTGGCTAGTGACTAGGGGATGAAACCTAAAACGTATTTAATGTTGGTTTTAAACTCTCCCATCGCAACCCAAATCGACATATTTTTTATTAAAATTAAATTGAGTTCAATCAAAAGCTACTAGGACTCAAAATTTCAAAAATTAAACTACCCCTAACTGAAAAACAAAAATTTTTTCTTTGACATTTAGAGACGCTGATTTTTTCTCTTTCCGAAAACGTTCTAAAAAGTACTAGCGACTAGGGGATGAAACTTAAAATGTAACTAATGTTGGTTTTCAACTTCCCCCTTGGAATCCTAACCGACCTGTTTTTGCTTGAAAATACATTTACTCAATGTCAAAAGTTATTGAGACTGTATCCTTTTGAAATGAAAGCATTGTGTACAAGATCATCAGTATCATTAAATAGACATAAAAACTGGTAAATGTGGTCAAATCCTACCGGATTTGATGAAGAATTTTATTTTTATTTAAAAAAAGTGTCTTAGATTGTAAAAAATAATGTTTGGGACACTTCGAGTAGCTTCAGGTCGGTTCAGGTCACTTTAGACCACTTCGGGTTACTTTGGATTACTTTGGCTTGAAGTAAAAAGAAAGTGTTAAACTTACTAACTTTAAGATTTTCAAAAGACATTTTTTTTTAAGAAAATGTTTAAATTTAGTTGTAAAAATGCCAATCGAGACGTTTCAAAACATCGTGCTACAAAAGACAGTTGGGGAGACTAAGAAAGTGTCAAATGTACTGGATTAAAAACTTTCTAGAGTTGCAAAAAACGTTTACAAATTTCTTAAAGAAATACTTAAATTTAAAAAATGTCATTCTAGACGTTTCAAAACATCGTGCTACAAAAGACAGTTGGGGAGACTAAGAAAGTGTCAGATGAATTGGTTTAAAACATTTTTAGAGTTGCAAAAAACATTTAACAATTTCTTAAAGA